TCACAACTAAGAATCATTTTTAGGAGATTGTAAAAGAGAATTTAGCTTGCAAAAAAAAGGGAAGTGGCAATGACGCCAAATTTGAATAAAAAGAGTATACACAAAAGTGTATCAGAAAAGAAAAGATGGTCAAAGAGCAAATCAAAGTGACAAGAGGCATAAACTGAGGCCACTAAAAGCAAGCTATCCTCTCTTTTACAATCTTTTAAAACTTAGAAGAACTCATGGGTTAATTGATATTTTCAATGGCTTGATTTCAAATTCCATGATTGAGATAAAATACTTTGGTATATTATCTATGAGATATTTATCATTATAACCAAGTTTTAAACGGATCTTCTTTCTTCCCAATTAACTTATTCTTAGTTAAGCTTTTTGTTTTCAAAAGACAATTTTTAGCTTAAAAGAAGTTCGAGCTAGTGATTAACAGGATCGGATATTCTACCATTTTTAGATTGTGACAATATTAACTCATTGATCTTTTGAATCTCTAAAATTTAATGTTATGAGAAATTTATCATATGGATGCTTTGCTAAAATTTTTTTTTTTTTGATTGTTTTAGTTTTTTTGTTTGTTAACTTTTTAATTTTTCATTTTATTTATTTGTTTTGGGTTTTCTCTGATCATCTCCATCCTTCCTTGGTTTTTAAATTCTTGTCACATCGTCCTGGCCGATACCTCTATCGTCCTGGCCGATACCTCTATCATCCTGGTCGATATGATAATTTCTCTTCAAAATTTCATCTGCTGAAATTTTCTGAGCCTTCTGTAATGCATCGTCCTGGATGATACTTTATCATCCTGGATGATCCGATAGAACTCTATTACAATCATCTTGATTGTCTTGGCTGGTATAAATTTTGTCCTGGCCGTTGCATTTATGGTCATCGTCCTGGCCGATACATTAGATCATCCCGTACAATCCACGTGTCAATACGTTTAAATCCTTAAAATTGGCCCCAAACGATCCATTATTTGACAATCATCCTGGCCGATCCACTGTTCATCCTGGAGGATACACGTAGCACAGATTTAAAACATTTTAACTTCAGCCGGTATGATCAATTATTATGCATTGTCCTAGACAATACAACTAATCGACCTGGACAATCTGCTTTTTCAATGGTCGTCCGGCTTGACTCCTCGGGATGATCACATGTGTCTAATCATTCTGGCTGATATCTGATTGTCCTGGACGATCGGACCACCTTTTTGACCAATCGACCTATACGTAATAATTGAACCAGATTGTCCTGAATGATTCTGTGATCGTCCTGGATGATTCTGCAATCGTCCTAGACGATGTGGCCATTTTTTTAAATTCAGAGCATTCCAACCATGTTTTCTCACCTCAAACCTCTTCTCCTCTCCTGTTTACTTACTGATTTCTTAATATGGATGGAGGAAAGCGAGTTCGTCAAGCTTCTTGAATCTCCTCGAGGGCCACTCTAGACCCTTGATTTTGGGAAGCTGAAGATCAAGCAGCTTATCATCAGTACAAAGAATGCAGCATCACTCTCTCTAGGATAATCAATCCTTCCTATCTTTCATATCCGGTATTAGATCTCTTTGCTCACAATTCTCTCTGCTTCATTCTTACTCTAGAAGTTCCTATTGCCGCCAAACTTTTGTATGAATTTTTTTGTAAATCTTCGAATAAATATAGCCTACACTGCCCTAACCTCTTATGTGAATAGACGCCCGGTTGAGATCACATATCAAGACTATGCTGAACTACTGCAGCTATCCACCTCTGGGGATAAGCTGTATTTAACTGTCTATGATCCTGACTTCAACTGGTCTGCTACAAATCATTTTCTATGCCAAACCAACTCTCCCTTTCAAGTTGGAGAGACTAACTCTTTAGTCAAAGATGTTAGGATAATCCAACATGTCCTTCGCACCTCCATAATTCCAAAAGTCGGGGACCTAATCCACATCACCCCATTACTTTCTCTTACCACCTTTTACATATGGCCCATAGAGATTTTAATGCTACTTATCTAATCTTTCGATACATTGATCATTTAACTACAATCCGTGATCTGGGTCATAAGAGGAAACCCAATCTGGCTTTGGGACACATCATCTCATATGTTCTTGAAACCAAATACAATCTTTAATATCCTGCTCACCCCAACCATCAGCCTCCCTACTACTCAAATAATTCATTCAATGTCCTTCACAGTACTCGTCTCCACCCAGGAGATGGAGAACCTCAGGGGGCTGAGGAGGAGGAGGCTCCCGCTCCCATTCCTGATTATGTTTCTCTTCGCCACCACTCAGAGTTTGACAAGTTAGTGGAGAGATTTGATCGTTGTGAGACCCATTTCAACACTTACGTTGTTGCATAGGGGCAGCAACATTCTGAGGACATGAACCGATACGAGCAGCACCGCACAAAGGACTGTTCGCTCCAGAAAAATCATCTTAATTTAAAAAAAATAAAGAATGTGAACCCCGCTCTCACGAACTTATGGGTTCTCTTTAATTTTTCTGGAGGTAGATTGAATTTAACAATTAACCAGATTTCCCCTGAGAGTAACATCAGGGTTTATTTAGATCTGGGTTATACTTCCTATGAGCGCAAGCCCTCATAGTTAATTACCCCTCCTAACTCATTAGAAGAGCACTCTCGATTAAGGATGAAATATATTTAGCTTTGTACAAGAAGTGTGAGAATGTGCAATAGATATTTAAATTTAGTTATGGGGGTATGAAGGTACACCCGATCAAGATCCCATGGTTCCGTCATCGCGGGCATACCGTTAGTTCAGTCTACCAACACTAACAACCATTGGTTGTAGTGTC